TTTTTTAAAAAGGCATGATGACCAGAGCTCATTATGAAGAAGTGTTAAACAAAATGAAAATGCCTGGGTGAGAAAAAGGTCAGGAAATTTGATCTGAGGATCAGCCAATAGTGACCTGCTCATTCTTCACGGGAGCAAGGGCTGCCCCACAAGATTCATTTGGGAAACTTTACCCCAACTATCCTAAACCTCGATCTTGGTCTTGCCATTCCCCAAATTCAAAAATTATGTAAAAGGAACATGATTAAGAGCCCCTTGAGGAAGACCAAGGGAGCCCTGGTGGCATCGTGGTAATGAGTTGTGTTACTCATGGCAAGGACAGCAGTTCAAAACCACCAGCAGCTCCTGGGGAGAAAAATGAGGCTTTCTACTGTCGAGAGTTAGTCTTGGAAACCCACAGGGCCCGTTTGACCCTGTCCTATAGATTCACTATGAGTCCGCATCGACTCGACGTGAGCTTTTGAGTGAGAGTGAGGATGACCACAATGTAAATCAAAGAACACACAGTTCTTTGGGGGAAGGATTAGAGAGACAGAAGCATTATCTTGCCAAGTGTCTCGACCTCCATGGAGGCTTTATGGAGAAGCAAATGCTAGATAGCCAGGATAGGGACTAAGGGGCCGGGGTTGTCTCCCCAGATGTCTGCATAAGGCCACAACAAAGGGTTTGGAAAGATATCGGGCATATTAATTAGACACCTATGGAAAGATCTAAACTGAGCATACACCAGTCCTCAGTTGGGGTTGGGAGGTCCACCTGGGTGAACAGACTAGGCCTAGCCACAGGACATCATCCAGGTGCACTTAAACTCAGCCAATAAGATCAGCCAATACCTTTGATCATGCCTCCTCAGCAGAGGAGATTAGAGCCTGCCACAGGAGTGCTCCTCTTGGGCTCCCCCCACCCCCCTTGGTCTCTTCCCTAGTTCAGAAGCGCTCTTGAGAGTCAGAGGGCAGGGGTACACCTGTGCTGCCCAGGCCCAGGGGCCCAAGCTCCCTTTCAGGTATCTCTCTCAGGGCGCTCTTTTGGGATTTCCTGTGACTACCTGAAACTTCCCTTTTCCTCATAAGTCACTTGGATTTACAAAAGTGCTTCTGCCACGTGAATTTGTTCAGCGTTGGGAAGGAAGAACCGAGGTATAAAACCACTCCAGAAACCCACACAATCATTTGCCACTTTGATATTTTGCTTAATGTATTCTGTGACTTTGTACCTATAGTTTTTGTACTTTCCTCATATATAAAATACAAAGTTCATATTTTCATATCCCTGGGACTAAAAATGTGCTAAGTGTGGGTGTTTCATTTCTGTCCTATCCAGCTTCTCCATTTGTGGAACGTTTTGCAAATTCAAATATCTACCTTAAACAATTGATGACTTTGGCCAAGATACTTCTCTAGAGCGTCAGTTTCCCTGTTCTTTGTGTTCTTGGAAGATTAAATGAGATACTGCAAAAGTCCTGGAGTCACAGGTGGAATCCCCTCTGACCTTAGCCGAGGAATATGAAGAGCCTTGTTATCAGACAAAGAGCATTGTGAACTCAATTATGGTAATATAGTTAGAATAAACTGTGATATCTTATCATTTGACCTCCCTTTTGACTGACTGAAAAAGTTGTTGCAGCTTTCAAACAAAAAAAGTGTAGGAGAAAGGCCAGTGGACGTCTGGTGAGTCCCGTCTGACCACAGAGCAGGGTTGTGCATGGCCTTGTGTCTGCACATCCCTTTGGAAAGTGCACTGTTGCAGACTCGAAGTTAAGCTAACATGTAACACTTCATTATTTGGGCTGCCTTTTGAGTCATTAAAAATTGTTCTGGTTTTTAATGTTTTTCAATTGAAGTCTTTACTCTGTTTTACTTTGTTATTGTTGTTTTGGCATGTTTTTCTATATATGAAACCCAGGATAGGTAAATCTATAATAACTGGATTAATGGTTTCTTGTGGACATAGCAGGGGAGGAGGTTGGGGAGAAATGGGAAGCTAATGACAATGAGTACGAGAAAGAGGAAAATGTTCTAAACGGATTGTGGTAATAACTGTATAACTCTTCATGATATGACTGAACTCTTGAACTGTAAGATATGTGGATTATGTGTCAATAAACCTTAAAAAAAATTAACAGTCCTGGAGGCATAGTGGATTGCACATAGGGCTGGCTATTCACTGCCAGGTCAGCAGTTCAAATCCACCCATGTCTTCACAGGTGAAAAATGAGGCTTTCTGCTTCTGTAAAGATTTACAGTCTCAGAAGCCCACAGGAGCGGTTTTACTGTGTCCTATTGGGTGACTGTGAATCAGAAACCACTCACTGGTAGTGAACTTGGTTTTGGTAAATGGCTGATAAAATTTTAATTTTTTTTTTTTTCATTTCCCCAGCCCTGCCCCGCACAGGCTGCATCCTGGTTTGATTAGATCCTCCCCCGTCATCCCTGCTACCTGCCTGCACCAATTCTCCATCCTTTCACCTAAGGTTTGATGGGATCTGTTTCCAGGAAGGCCTATTGAGTGCCACGCCTAGTTCTAAAATCCGGAGAAGGCCCTTCCATTGCCACGCCCGCGGCAGAATAGTTAAGAAAACCCTCCCCGCCGAACAGACCGGCTGTGCCCGAGGTATTGCGTTTCGGGTGTTGCGAAGCAGGTGGGGGTGCAAGTCTGGGCTTTCTGCTCCCGGGAACAGTGACGGACACCCACAGGGGTCGCTGTGAGTCCGCACTTCCTCCGTGGCTGGGAGAGGTAGGCGTGGACCGACCACGTGGGTGGGAGGAGTCAGCAAGCAAAAGGCAGGGGCACCCTACAGAGTGGGCGGACCCAAGGGGAGGGGCCGGACCCGGGGGGCCTTGAACGCCCAGCCCCGAGGGAGGGTTCCTCGGATTGGCGCAAGGAACCTCCTCGGCGCTCGGACCCAAGCGCTGCCTCGGCCGTGCCAAGTCGCCTTGCGGGAGGCGCCCGAGACAGCCCCGCGCAGCCGCAGAGCACCCCCGCCAGGCC